AGTCAGTTTAGTAATGAAGCAATGAAACAATGTTGAAGACGTAAGGACATTCAAGGGAAATAAGTAAAGGCATTTTGAGATCACTTCGAGCCCAAGACAAGTGAAACTGGGGGCAGATAGAACATAAAGAAACACTGTTGAGATGCATCATGCCGCATCGGTTTCAAGCCAAAGGCAGGCTTACCCCAAGTCTACAAGGACCGTTCGTGGCCTATTCATATAGAATTGATTCCTAAAAATGGGTCTCTTCATAAAATACCTTTTAGACTAGAGACTTTTTGGTGTAAATATCCAGAATTCCAGACTATAGTGAAAAATAATTGGTATGGTAGTGACTATTTCAAAGCCAATCTTAACTTTGTGGAAAAATTAAACCCTAGAAAACAGCACCTTTGGTAATATTATGGGAACTAAGAGGAAATTACTAGCTAGACTCCAAGGTATCCAAACTTCCAATAGTTATACTACCAGTACTTACCTTCGTAAGTTAGAATTAGATCTTAAAATGAATACAATNTTTTGTGTTTGTCATTTGCTTTTATTTGTGTGATTTTATTGTTTTACATGATTTAGTTGTTCCCGTTTATTATTTTAATTGTTTGTTTTTAACTGTTCGTTTATTGTTTCAACTAGTTAATAATAAAATTAGTTTTAGGACCTACATTAATTAGATTTGGTTTAGTTCAGATATCTCTCTTAGTTTGAGTTCAGTTCTTTTGTTAGGAACTCTGATTAGTAAATAGGGATTCGGGCTCTTTTTGAAGTCAGTAAATCATTTGAATTAGGTCACTTGGCCCAGATTCTTAGTTGGTAGATTTTGGTCAGTAATTTCAGGGGATGCTAAGGGTAGTTTAGGCATGGGAAAAGGGTAGTTTAATCAGATTTGGTAATTGTTGAAGTAAAGTAAGGGTAGAATAGGAATTGTAATGGGTATAGAACCTTCTAGGATGGACTATAGTGCAGATTTCAGTAAACTTAGGGTAGTTACTTGTGTAACAAGTCAAGAAACAAGGGGTAGAAAATAGAATTAAGATAGGGACTAATGGGTAAAGTGAAAAAATCTGAAATTGGACCCTAAGTTTGCCTATAAATAGGCATTCATTTGCCTTGTACAACAAGTTTGGAAAACACCTAAAATACCCCCCCCCCCCCCCCCCCCTAAAAAATTGTCTCTGCAATCTCAACAGATCTGAAATTTGAAATCCAAACTTCAAATCTCCAAAAATAAAAAGAAAACAAACAGAAAAAGTTTTTTTTTAGCTCTGAAAATGCCCCCAAAAATCCATTGAAAAAAACAAAATCAAAGAAACACTGTTCCATTGAAAAGCTTTAGGTTAATTTTGATTCCTAATTAATCAATCCACATCTTCTAGTTCACAATCTGATGGCTGAGGTTTCAGAAGCTTACAAGACTGATTTCGAGTGATTTTGAGTTCAATTAAGCTAGTTTGAGTTGAATTTTTGTCTGCTGGAAGCTTCAGAGGTGTTCTGTGTTCAGTTTCAAGCTTATTTGGGTTATTTTGGTGCTGTTCTGAGTGATACATCAGTCATGCTGGTTTTTTAAACATTTCTGGAATCACTGATTTACCTCTAGACTGGCTGATTCTGCTATCTGGGTTGTTGCTACTCATCTGTCGATTGCTGTTGCTCATTATTGCCTTAGCTGACCTCTTCTCCTCCATTTCTATTCTATTTCCAGGTACATGTCCTGAATCTCGATATCATGTAGATCCTCAGCTGAAAATGAAATGAAGTGGAGGCATAGTTTTGTTTCAATGTTTTCACTATTCTTGACTGTAATAATTTGGACTGTATTGGACTGCTTGGGTTTCTCTAGTTTGTATTAATCGGACTGTCTATCAAATGCGTAGTGTAGTTGAAGGCCATTTTAATATGTTGTTCATTACGTGTTTCTGCATAGGTTAGCTTGTTGTAAAGATCAGTTAATAAGCAGTAATGTCCTCGCTTCGTGAATTTGAATTTGTTTAAATTTGAGTTAACATGACCAAGCATTGCTTCTGCAACTGTTAACATCAGAGGTTATTTGCGAAGAGATTTGGGTCATTTAATTTGTTGCTTGAGTGCTGTCTGGGTTCAATTTCGAATCCCTGCCTTGCCGGGGCACGTGAATGTTGTTTGGGCTTGAAAGGGCTCCATGTTTGAGTCCAGAAGCATTTGAGTTTGTGAATCTGGGCTCATGTCCAGGCCCAGGTCAGACAGCCCCTCGGAATGTGATTTGGGCTCTAACTTTTGGACCTTGACGCCGTTTCATGTAAAGAGCAATGTTACTGCTGTTTTTCTGGTGAAGATTAAGTTTCCATAAGCTCATGAACTGTTTTGATAATTGGCTTGCTAATTATTAATTGGTAGGTTCTTGGGTCTTTCAAGTAATTGGGCTTTTAGAGACGACCCAGTAGAAAACATAATTCGCTTAGGATATCCTTAAATGAAATGAGGTGCGCCGCGCCGAACAGAATCGTACATGCGTGCCCTTTTAATTATAGTGAAGATATAATTAGACTTCGGGACGAGCCGTTTAGCGAATTTCACGGTTTTCCCCAAAGATGATAACGCGTAGTTGCTTTAGGCGCGTATTCTAATAATATTACTTTCCTAAATTCGGGTGCACATTTATGTGACCTAAATTCAAATCTCAACGAAGTCAAAATGTGTTAACAATCACGGGTGCACTAGTGCGACGTGGTTCGAGATGCATTTTCACGACGTTGCAATTCTTATAAAAAAATGAAAAATAATAAAAGCGGTTTATTAATAAAAGCATATGAGTTTGGACATGTTTTTGAAATCAGATAAAATCAAATACAACAGTTGAGCGACTGTGCTAGAACCACGGAATCCGGGAATGCCTAACACCTTCTCCCGGGTTAACAGAATTCCTTACTCGGAGTTCTGGTTCGCGGACTGTTAAAAGAGTCATAATTTCCTCGGATCGGGATTCAACCGGTGACTTGGGACACCATTAATCTCCCAAGTGGCGACACTGAATATCAATAATAAATCCCGTTCTGATTGTCCTTTAATTGGAAAAACTCCTTTACACCCTCACAGGTGTAGGAAAAAGGAAGTGTGACAGACAGGAGGACTCTTCATTCTCAAGTCAAGACCTGCAGCCTCAGTTTTAAAAAGTTTCCCTAAGTCTAGTACTTCTGTACCTAGGCAGAGTTTACATTATGTTCCAATTTTTAATTCTTGTTTTGCTTTTTCTGATTCCAATGTAAAAGGAAAGCTATTGCATTATAGGTTAGGCCATATGCCTTTGAGTAATATGAAGAAAATTTCTGATGTTTTTGTTCCTTCATGCTTTACTCATTCTACTCCTTGTCTTATTTGTCCGATGGCTAGACAATTCAAACTACCTTTTCCTTCAAGTTTTATATCAACCAAAAAGATCTTTGAACTAATCCATGTGGATACTTGGGGACCCTACAAGGATCCTACCTATGATGGTTATAAATATTTCCTCACTATAGTTGATGACTACAGTAGAGGGACTTGGACCTACTTACTAAGTAACAAGTCAAATGTTTTCACTGTGTTAAAATCTTATTTAGCAATGGTAGAGAGGCAATTTCATACAAACATTAAGATAATAAGATCAAATAATGCTTCTGAATTGGGTTCTGGAATTGTTCAAATAGATTTTTTTCTTTCCCAAGGGATTATACATCAAACCAGTTGTGTGTCCACTCCACAACAGAATGGAGTTGTGGAGAGAAAATATAGGCACTTACTAGAGACATCTAGAGCTCTATTGTTTCAATCTTATTTACCTATATCATTTTTTGGGAGGGGGGGGGGGGGGGAGGAACTGCCTGCTCACAACCATTTATTTGATCAACAGATACCCTTCTAGAGTATTAAAGTTCAAGACTCCTTATGAAGTCCTTTTTCAAACCAAACCTAGCTATTCGAATTTAAGATGTTTTGGTTGTCTATGCTTTGCCTCCACCATTTCAAGACATAGATCCAAATTTGACTCAAGGGTTGTTCCTTGTGTGTTTCTAGGCTATCCACATGGCAAAAAGGGTTATAAGGTGGTTGATCTGAAGACATTAAAGGTCCTTGTTTCTAGACATGTAATATTTCATGAGGAATTTTTTCCATTTGTTTCTATCAAATCTGATTCTGTAGGGGCTTCTTATCTTCCAACAGCCACATTGAACAATTCATTTCCCTTAAACTCAGACTCCTCCTCACCTTTGGTTTCATCTGACAACCAACACTCTACTTCTACTCCTTCTCCTGCCTCTATTGTTTCTTCTTCTCCTACCCCTACTGTTTCTTCTCCTACTTCTTACCCCGGTACAACTCTATTCCCTAACAGCCCATTACCAGTTAAATCATCACCAGGCTGCTCCTCTTCTAGTATCCCTTTTCCTTCACTGTCTTCACATGTTTCTCAACCTATGATAGATACTCTAATTAGAAAATCTACCAGACCTCACAATCCTCCTACATACCTCAAGGATTACATTTGTAATGCTCTTCACCTCTCAGATGTGAGTACTACATGTTTTCTTGCCCCAGTCTCTCCTCCATCCTTGTCTTTTAGTAATCTTTCCAACACTAATCAACATATGCTCAATTCTCTATCTAATATGCATGAACCTATTAGTTATTCACAGGCTTCACATCACCCAGGGTGGCAGGAAGCCATGGAACAGGAAATTGCTGCTCTTGAGCTCAATAAAACTTGGGAAGTCACAGAATTACCCCCAGGTGGAAAGGCTTTACCTTGCAAATGGATCTACAAGGTGAAGCAACGGTCAGATGGTAGTGTGGAAAGGCTAAAGGCTAGGTTGGTGGTAAGAGGTGATATACAGAGAGAGGGGATAGACTTCAATGAGACCTTTTCCCCGGTGGTCAAGATGACCACCATCAGATGCATTTTAGCTTCTGTAGTTAAGAAAAGTTAGGTTTTTTATTAATTGGATGTGAACAATGCGGTCTTACATGGTGATTTAAACGAAGAAGTCTATATGAAATTCCCAGTTGGCTTTACACCACCTTCTCCTAACCATGTTTGTAAGTTGAAGAAGTCCATTTATGAACTTCGTCAAGCTTCTAGGCAATGGTATTCTAAGCTTACTACTGCTCTTAATTTCAAGGGATACACACATTCATTGAACGATTATTCTTTGTTTTTTAAAGAGACAGATTCATCTATCTCTATTGTGGCAGTATATGTCGACGATATATTACTAACAGGAAATGATACAAAGGAATTGACTGCATTGAAAGAATTTTTACATCAGGAGTTCAGAATCAAGGATCTTGGACACTTACATTATTTTTTGGGAATGGAAGTTCTACGAGAGTCTCATAGTTTGATTCTGTCTCAGCGGAAGTTCACCCTTGATTTACTGCAGGAATTGATTCTCTCCACAAGTCGCCTGTTTCTTGCCCTCTTGACCCATCTGCTCGCTTACTTGCTCAAACCGGTGACTCTATCCCTGACTCGACCTTGTATCGCCATTTGTTGGGCAAGCTAAATTACTTGACACATACAAGATCGGATATATCCTACATTGTACAACACCTTAGCCAGTACATGCAGGATTCTAGACAGCCTCATCACAATGTTGCACTTTGTGTCCTCCGCTATTTATTGAAGGATCCTGGACTTGGGCTCTTTATGTCTTCCTCGCCTTCATACCAGCTCCCTGCCTTTTGTGATTCCGACTGGTCCACTTGCCCTAATTCGCGCAAATCCGTCAGTGGATTCTACATCTCTCTTGGCTCATGCCGAGTTTTATGGAAATAAAAAAAAAACATCCATTTCTCTCAGTTCTGCAGAAGCTGAATACCGTTCAATGAGACAAGTTGTGGCTGAGCTCACTTGGTTGCTACGCTTATTGGATGATCTTTCTATCCCAATTTCACTTCTTGTTCCTCTTCATTCGGACCGTCGGGCGGCTATTCATATCACGAAAAAACCCTGTTTTTCACAAAAGAACTAAACATGTCGAACTAGAGTGTCATTTCGTCAGACAACAATTCCTCGCCGGCCTAATTTCACTCTCATATGTTCACTCCTTTTCTCAGCTCGCAGATCTGTTCACCAAGTCTCTCACATGGCCAATTCATCACCATCTTTTGAACAAGTTGGGTGTCCTTCCATCCCCCTCCAACTTGAGGGGGGTGTTGGTGTTAGAAATGAAATGAAGCTTCTCTCGAATTATCCGATGAAAGTAAGAAAAAAGACAATGGAGACAAAATCGACTAGGTAACTTATGTTTTGATTTGTGTCTGAGAAGGGTGTATATCTTAAGGAAAGGATGGGTCTGACCTTTTTGGACTTGGACTTAACTCTAAACATGCCTCTTTTGTTTTGGACTTAGTTCTACATCAAATGGGCCTTAAAGCTTTAGTTATTCCATTGGCCCATTCTAAGACAAACCTAGAAGATAGAAAGAGATATTTTACATAGTAGATAGAATCATTATTTTGTAAATATTCTTCTAGTCTGTTACAAAAGTTTGTTACAATAGCTGTAGGAATAGGCTAGTAAAATACTGCCATTTGGCAAAGTTTGTTTAGACTAGATTCTATTCATTTGTATAAATAGATTACACTATGCAGAGAAATACACACAACAAATTTCCAAAATTCATTCTCTTCATCCTTCCCCGAGCCCTGCACATAATAACGGAAGCTTAGTGAACAGGACTGCTCTCTCACAGGGCCGATTCATCACCATCTTTTGAACAAGTTAGGTGTCATTTCATCCCCTCCAACTTGAGGAGGGGTGTTGGTGTTAGAAATGTAAATGAAGCTTCTCTCGAATTCTCCGATGAAAGTATGAAGAAAGACAATGGAGACAAAATCGACTAGGTTACTTAAGATTTGATTTGTGTCTTAGAAGGGTGTGTATCTTAAGGAAAGAATGAGTCAGACCTTTTTGGACTTGGACTTAACTCTAAATGTGCCTCTTTTGTTTTGGACTTAGTGTTAGTAGACTGTATTTGTAAAATAATTCTGGAAATATAAATGAATATAAACAGAAATGAACATAAAAAGAAATGACATAAAACCAATTCGAGCCCACTGAATTCACAGTGTTTCCTTAAGGAATTTAATCCCCTCATAGTACCCAAGGTTATGGATTATTTCCTCCTAGGATAGAACGAATTACACACTGGTGTAGTGGTTCTTCAAACCCCAGTGTTTCAGCGAACACAAAGTTCGATAGCAAATCACACTTACTTTTTACTTTGTTTGATGCTAAAAGTATGCAGAAGAAGGAGAGAAAACTCAGAAAATCGTAGTGAAATTCTGAGCAGAATAGTGTTGTATTTATAGCCAAAGTTGGGCTGAAATCTGAAGAGGTGCAACTCTTCAGAATGGTTGTTTATGCAAAACGCCCACAGCATAAATGCCATTACATTAAATGGCCATTTACTCAATAATAAAGAGGGAAAATAAAGAGGAAAAATTGAAGAGGGTAGTTAATTTTCTGTTACCAAAACAGAAAAATGGATTGGATTTAATATTAATATTTAATATTAATATTCTGTTATTAAAACAAATATTTAATAACATTTCTGTTAATATTTTACTATTAACAAATAAATTTGGTCCAAAAAGTTAATCAATCAATCGATCATTTGACCAAATCCAAATCCAAATCCGAATCCGAATCCGAAGCCGAAGCCGAAGCCGAGCCGAGCCGAGCCGAGCGAGCGACGACGACGAGGGAGCGAGGCTTGCCTTCTTCTCAACTCTTTAAGAGCTAGAAGAAGAGCAATTGCTTATATACCCATAAAAAACCTCTTCCTTTTCCAATATGGGACAATGCCCATTTGCCAAGGGGGGAGGGAGGGGGGGGGGAACTTAAATTTTCACTCAAAAATTTCATTTTCCTCCATTTCCCATTCACCCTCTTTTAAGTATTTAATATATATTAATTAAATACATCCAAAACCCAACAATCCCCCACATGAATGGGGAATGGCTATATCACGGAAGTATGCATGAAAAACTGTGTGATTCGCAAGTAAGGATTAATTGCATCTGGATAAGTAGGTTTCCCTTTGAACTTTCCGTAGTGAACTTATGTCGGATATACTCTATCAATCGGTAGATTTGATATCTTTGAACCGTCGAACTTTAGTGTATACCTAGACAACCATAAGTCACACAACCAACCCTTAACCGTCTTTGGTTCTCATTGTCGTGTTCGTTTCAGCCATGAACACCGCATGGTTTCATAAGTGCGTAGAGAACTGGCCTTATAATGTTCTCCTTGAAGCGGCTAACACTTCACACTTACATAGGTGATTCCTAAACGTGTCATTTCGTAGATACACTATTTGATATACCCCGTATCAAATTTAGAAATCATTAAAAAGCCTTAATGCTTTATCCTTGATACTGAACATTGTCTCATCACGAGAATGGATCAAAAGTTTAGTTGACAATGTTGAACCGTCATAAATGACTTTGTTTGATCTCCTTGAACCTAGATCTTGGGATCTCCAGTCTTCTAGGTGGAGTTACCGCCACTATGACTTGTTCTCGGCCACAGTCCCATTCCCCTTGATGACTTCTCAACAACCTCTCTAGTTAGGCCTTTTGTAAGCGGATCCGACACATTATCACTTGACTTTACATAGTCAATCTTGATAATTCCTCTAGAGAGTAATTTTCTAACGGTTTTATGTCTTCGTCATCTATGGCGAGACTTACCGTTATACATAACGCTCCCAGCCCTTCCAATTGCCGCTTGACTATCACAATGTATGCATATTGGTGCCAACGGTTTGGGCCAAAATGGAATATCTTCCAAGAAATTCCGGAGCCATTCAGCTTCTTCACCGGCTTTATCCAAGGCTATGAACTCAGCCTCTATTGTAGAGCGGGCAATACAAGTTTGTTTGGATGACTTCCAAGATACCGCTCCTCCACCAATAGTGAATACATATCCACTTGTGGACTTGGAATCAGTTGATCCGGTGATCCAATTTGCATCACAGATCCCTCAATGACCGCAGGATATTTATTGTAATGCAAAGCAAATTCCTGGGTATGTACTAAATACCCCAAAACTCGTTTCATGGCCATCCAATGAGATTGGCCTGGATTGCTCGTATATCGACTCAATTTACTTATAGCACAAGCTATATCTGGTCGTGTACAATTCATGATGTACATTAAGCAACCCAACACACGAGCATAATCCAATTGTGATATGCTCTGGCCTTTGTTCTTTGCTAATGCAAGATTCACATCAATTGGAGTCTTTGCAATTTTAAAGCCCAAGTGCTTGAATTTTTCAAGTACTGTCTTAATATAATGAGATTGTGACAATGCTAGACCTTGAGAAGTCTCATGGATCTTAATTCCCAGAATTAAATCAGCAACTCCCAAGTCTTTCATATCAAACTTGCTAGTTAGCATACGCTTAGTAGCATTTATGTTAGCAATGTCATTACTCATTATGAGCATATCATCCACATATAAGCAAACAATGACTATGTGATTTGGAACATTTTTAATGTACACACATTTATCACATTCATTTATCTTAAATCCATTTGACAACATTGTTTGGTCAAATTTAGCATGCCATTGTTTGGGTGCTTGTTTTAATCCGTAAAGGGACTTAACAAGTCTACAGACCTTCTTTTCTTTACCTGGAACCACAAACCCTTCAGGTTGTTCCATGTAAATTTCTTCCTCCAACTCTCCATTTAAGAAGGCCGTCTTAACATCCATTTGATGAATTTCAAGACCATAAACTGCAGCTAACGCTACTAACGTTCGTATGGATGTAATTCTTGTAACTGGAGAGTATGTATCAAAATAGTCAAGACCTTCTCGTTGTCTATACCCTTTGACCACAAGTCTTGCCTTATACTTGTCAATAGTACCACCATCTTTTATTTTCCTCTTAAAGATCCATTTAGATCCCAACGGTTTGTTTCCAGGAGGAAGATCAACCAATTCCCATGTATGGTTGTTTAGTATGGATTCTATTTCACTATTGACCGCCTCTTTCCATAACAATGATTCCGAAGAAGACATAGCTTCTTTAAATGTTTGAGGCTCATTTTCCAATAAGAAAGTCACAAAATCTGGTCCAAATGAAGTAGACGTTCTTTGACGTTTACTACGTCTTGGATCTTCCTGGTTAAGTGTACTTTCTTTTGTTTCTTCCCGAGGTCGTTTAGATCCTTCACCAATCGACTCACATTCCTTTTTATACGGATATATATTTTCAAAGAACTCAGCATTATCTGATTCTATAACCGTATTATTATGAATGTCGGGATTTCCTGATTTATGAACCAGAAATCGATATGCTTTACTATTAGTTGCATATCCTATGAAAATACAATCAATGGTTTTCGGTCCTATTTTTACCCTTTTGGGTTTAGGAACTTGCACTTTTGCCAAACACCCCCACACTTTAAAATAATTCAAGTTGGGCTTCCTTCCTTTCCATTTTTCATATGGAATGGATTGTGTTTTGCTATGGGGTACTCGATTTAGTATTCGGCTAGCCGTAAGAATGGCTTCCCCCCACAAGTTCTGTGGCAAACCAGAACTTATCAATAATGCGTTCATCATCTCCTTTAATGAACGATTCTTTCTTTCTGCAATCCCATTGGATTGGGGCGTGTAAGGGGCCGTTGTTTGATGAATAATTCCATATTCTAAACATATTTGTTCAAAAGGAGATTCATATTCACAACCCCTATCACTTCTTATCATTTTGATTTTCTTATTAAGTTGTGTTTCAACTTCATTTTTGTATTGCTT